TTTGCGACATGAGCCAGACCCCAGGCCGAGATTTTCCAACGGGGGAGCCGAAAGCTTTAGCTCCAAGGGGGAGATTTTCAAAGACAGAGACGGCCTCTTGTCTCCCAACTCCAGGATTGCAATGCCCGGCCTTGTCCTGAACATCCCTGTCCTAACTCTGTATATAAGGTGCCAAATAAGGAACCTAGTTTTAAAAATCCAGAGCAGTCGTCAGCTCCTGCGGAAGCCTTATCCTCCAGCTTTTCCTTGCACTTTGAATAAGTGTAAAAGGTCGGAGTGGAAAAGTTTGGGCTCAGATTCACAGCCTTTCAAAGTGGGTGAGCCCTCTCATCTGCGGTTCTCCAGGGCCTTTTTCAGCCTAGATGCCGCCCACCCCCTCTTGGGAGTTGCTACCTGACCCCGACTTCGCATTGATTTCCATGGAAACCACGGATACTCGGCACCACACAGGATGGGACTAATATCGTGGGAAATGCTTTGGGCTATGAAGCGTCACAATTAAACCTGCTTTCTTAACTCAGGGGCCCTATCCCTATAGGGGCTCCCGTAGGGGGCTCCTAGATGCAGTTGGTTGAGCTCTGCAGGACCCTGCTCAGCACCGTGGCCTGCTCCTTAAACCTCAGCAGATCCAGACTTTGTCAGTGACACTGAGGGACCTGGCACCCCGTGCCCAGTCCGTGGTGAGTGCTGTCCATGCTGGCTGGCTTTAGGTCACCCTGGGTTACGCTAAAGATGCTCCAGTTGACAGTAGTGGGGTGCACACCCCCCTACCGTGAAGCCCCGTCGGGGGATGTATCCCCAAGAGCCAGCAGCACTATAACTCCTTTCGAAGTGCGGCTGAGGGCACCGTCTCTTGTGACGTCTCGCTCTGTGGAAACATGCAACCTGAGGCGAGTGACTTAATGCACCACCGGTGGGGCTTGAACTTGCAGGCTGGCGTCTCTCCTGCCCGTATGCTCTTTCCCAGTCTAATTAATTAATTTTTCTCTCTCTTCTCCACCCTCCCCCCATGCCTGCCCGCTCTCCTCTGTGCAGCTGTGATGCTTACAGACGGCACTGCCATCTGCGGAGCTGGCTTTGTCTTTAAAAAGGGCTCACAGCTGCATTTGCCTGGTACCGGGGTACCCGGCCGAGTTCATTCGTTGCGGAGATCCCAAGCAACGAGGCTTGGCAGGGGGAAGAAAGAGGACGACGGCAGGGCAAATTAGAAAAGAAAAAACGTATCTCGCCGTTCGCAACTGCCAGGGCTTTTGCGGCTGGCGTCGTTGTATCTGTGAGCTCGGAACTCGTTTCCTGTTTGTGTTATTCATGGGGTGACAGGCACCCCTACTGGGGTGGGAAGTGTCCTCATGGTTTGTTTCAGCTGCGACTGAAACACTGACCGGACACACTCCCGTCCCAACAGCTGTCCCGTTAGACAAGGGAGCGAGCGACTCACCTACACGAATCCTTCCCCCAGCAGGTAGGAGGGTGAGCCAAAGCTGCCTCACTTTCCTCTGCCACCAGCAAGGCGGAGAAACAAGGGAGCAGTTTGCATCAGGACCACAACTCCTCGTCATGCCTAGCACGTGCAACCAGCCGGGTGCCATGGCTAGCGGTAGAATAGGAATGCAATGGGCGAAGGCGGTTTTCTTGGCCTGGTTCACCTTCTCATTTACGCGCCAATCCCTCGGTAGACGGCCAGCACGTGATGCTGCACTGAGGAAACCGCACGGCTCCACCCTGGTGCGTTTTAGCCATGTGCATCCATTGGCATCAGTGCGGTCATAAGAATCGGCCCAGATCCATTGTATGTGTTGCATTGGTAATACCCCTGCGCCGCGTCAGATCATCTGAAGTTCAGAGCTGGCTCCCCAGTCTGGTGGATCCTCGGTTTTGCATCGTATATTGACGGTGGCACCTCCAGCTTCACAACAGCTCCTCCTGGCAGTGTTAGCCATGTGCATCCATTGGCATCAGTGCGGTCATAAGAATCGGCCCAGATCCATTGTATGTGTTGCATTGGTAATACCCCTGCGCCGCGTCAGATCATCTGAAGTTCAGAGCTGGCTCCCCAGTCTGGTGGATCCTCGGTTTTGCATCGTATATTGACGGTGGCACCTCCAGCTTCACAACAGCTCCTCCTGGCAGTGTAACGCCGAGGTCCCTTCCAGTCCTAGTATTCTATGATTCTAGGCTCTTTTAGCCTGGCTACTCAACTTTGAAAGCCCCGGGGGCCACAAGGATACTCACAGCACATGCTGAGGGATGCAACTTGCATAAGGTTGCATATGCATACAAATATATATGCAAATAGCTTCTTTCACACTGACAGGCATGAATACAAAGAATAACGCAAGACAACACAACACTCAGGTCCCATTTAAGTCAGTTCTGCTGATATTAATAAAATGTAATATTTACCCAATTTACACCCAGATGAAGTCCAGGAATTTAACTACTAAAATGGGGAGACCATTCTATTGACTACATTTGTTTTGGCTCCCACCCGCAGGCCACGTGTTGAGCCCCACGTAAACCCAAACTGCACCACGGGCTGCAACCAGACAGGCCACGGGCCGCATGTTGAGTAGCCAGGCTCTACAGCCTCAGCTAAAAGCCGGCTGGCTGGTCCACTAAAGCTGTAGAGCAGACTCCTTCTCTCTCGCTGTTAACAATCTAAGTGCCACTACCTGGCACTGTGCACCCTCTGCCTCCCCCAGCAGGTGTGTGGGTTCCACCCTGGCGAGGGGTTTGTGTCATACCACCTCGGCAGGATTCATGATTCTAGGCCTAGAACACATGAGCTGTGAGGGGAGACTGAAAGAACTGGGCTTGTTTAGTTTAGAAAAGAGAAGACCGAGAGGGGACGGATAGCAGCTTCCAAGTACCTAAAAGGATGCTACAAGGAGGAGGGAGAAAAATTGTTCTCCTTGGCCTCTGAGGACAGACAAGAAGCAATGGGGCTTAAGCTGCAGCAAGGGAGGTCTAGGTTGGACATTAGGAAAAACTTCCTAACTTTCGGGGTGGCTAAGCACTGGAATAAATTGCCTGGGGAGGTTGTGGAATCTCCATCTCTGGTGATATTTAAAAGCAGGTTAGATAGACAAGGGAGGTTTAGGTTGGACATCATCTAGTCTAGCTTCTGCATCATTGAGTCTTCCCTGGGAGTGCTTCCTGCACCTTTTCCTACCTACTGGGGCCTCTTTTGGCTGTTAAACTCCATGTTCATTGATTGCCCGGCAGGCCAGTGAAACAATTGCCAATAACTCGAGTAGCTAGCCCACAGGGCTGCAGCTTCCCGGCTTGAGGACGTGGGCTAGGTAAACTAACGCGCTTCAGGCCCACCAACAAGGGCGGAGGGAGGCAACTGCCCGAGGGCCAAGCGAGTCAAAATGGCCCAGAGTTCCCTGTCACCACTGCTGCTGTGGTAGTGGCCCTGAGGGCTGGCTGTGGGGCGTGCGGCCTGGTCAGCCCTGAGGGCTAGTGTTGGGGGGGGGAGGGCTCAGTGTAGTCCAGGTGGCACTGAGAGCTGACTGCCCTCAACTTGGACCCCTTCTCCCTGAGGCTCCACCCCTCTGAGGAGTGTGAAGATGGTCCCTCCTACCATCTTAACCAGGGGCCTGGTGCGTCTTTTGCCCCCTCTCTGACTAGATTGGGTGCCTCTACAAAAGCTTCGATCACACCCTACGGCTGAACCCTGGGCAAACCCAAGTCCCGAGCAACACTTAAATCTTAGGTCAACCTAGCCACCCTGCTTCGGGGTGGGAAAAGTCCCCGCTCTGGAGAGACATAATTTAGTCAACCTGAGTTTCAGTGTAGACACTACTAGGTCAATGAGAGAATTCATCCATCACCCTAGCTACTGCATCTGGCGGAGGGAGTGGATTTACAACACTGACATAACATAAAATCCATGTGTGGCTATAAGAACTGTCTACACTACAGTAGCATAGCTGTAACTGTGCTTGTGTAGGCCCATTGTGTGTTACACCTAGCTCAACAAGCATGAGATACGCTTATAACAGGCCACCTGTTGGCTTCTTGTTGATGTCAAAGAAGAGTGGCTTGAGAAAGGGACCTGAAGGGTGAGAATCATGGTGACTGAGTTGGCGTTGGTCCTGCTTTGGGCAGGGGGCTGGATTCGATGACCTCCTGAGATTTCTTCCAGCCCCAGGATTCTTTGATAATATGAATCAGACCTACAAGGCCACAACCCACAGTGGTACGACAACCAGAGATCATAGGACACTAGAACTGGAAGGGACCTCGAGAGGTCATCGAGTCCAGTCCCCTGCCCTCACAGCAAGGCCAAGTACCATCCAGATCATCCCTGACAGATGCCTATCTAATCTGCTCTTCAATATCTCCAATGATGGAGATTCCGCAACATCCCCAGGCAATTTATTCCAGTGTTTCACCACCCTGACAGGTAGGAATTTCTTCCTAATGTCCAAACTAAACCTCCCTTGCTGCAGTTTAAGCCCATCGCTTCTTGTCCTATCCTCAGAAGTCAAGGAGAACAATTTTTCTCCCTTTTCCTTGTGACACCCTTTTAGGTACGTGAAACCCGCTCTCATGTCCCCTCTCAGTCTTCTCTTTTCCAAACCAAATAAACCCAGTTCTTTCAGTCTTCTCTCATAGCTCATGTTTTCTAGACCTAGAATCATTTTTGTTGCTCTTCTCTGGACTGTCTCCGATTTCTCCACGTCTTTCCTGACATGTGGTGCCCAGAACTGGAGATGGTTTGCTTTGCACAGCAAGATGCCTTTCCGAGACAGAAAGCCAGGCGATGAATTTGGACCACTGGGTGTAGTTGTCATTTCCACGGGGCCAGCTGTTTACCTGTCCAACAAGCCGGAGACCACAATCATTAGGTAAGAACTGGGCAGGAGAAGTAAGAACTTCTTTCAAAACGCTCTTTACGTTATGTGGTTCTGGTCCAGTGAGGAGAGGGCTCTTCCCAAGGGAAAGGAGGGAGGGCGAGAGGAGAAATGTAGGCTCCACAGACTGAAGAAAACAAGATAATTGGGCAAACAATGGATTTCCGACCTGATTTTATTTCTTCAGGCTGCGCTGTCTTTCCTGTTTACTTGCTATTTTGGAAATAGAACAATTGATAATTTACTGCTGATTAGCTGGCACGACTCTGGCTTGTCAGTAAGCTTGATTTTAACTGGCCAAGTGTCAGGGCAGGAAGCCAGGAACGCTGTGGCAGGGAACAGTAAACAAAACAATTATAAGATTAACACCTTGTTTAACGGTCAGATATCGTCAAGTGGGTGAAAGATTGCTCCAGCTCCCCCCATATAGCGCCTGGTAGACAAATTACCTTATTAAAAAGGATCGTGCTCCCGGCCCATTCCCTGCACCTGTGTCCTCAAATATTTTCATTCATTTTCGAGAGGCGGCTGACAGTCTCCCTGGCCTGGTTTGATTCTGTGCAGCTGCAAGAGCATTATTTGGTGTTAACATATTTGCATATCAATGAGACCCTGATTAATATTTAAAGAGCCAGCTGTCCAAGCCACCTATAAAAGAAAAAAAAAGAGCCCTGTTTTTTTACGGATAACACTTACTGGCCTTGATCAAGTTGGCTTCATTTTTATCCTATGTTCTTGGGGGGGAGGAGGGGGGAACCAAACAGCGCCTCCCCATACACACCACAAGAACAACAACAGTGTCCAGAAAAAAAATATGAAATGTCATTAATGAATTATCAGCTAATTGGCTGCATCCCTTTGAATGCTTCTCAGTCCTTTTGTGTCTTAGCTGCAGCTGTATCGAGCGGGTTTGGGGAGGAAGAGCACCGCGGGGTTGAGCTGATATGAGCAAGGTGCTATGATGGCTAAAAGTGAGCAGGAGACCACAAAAACAAGTGCCAGGCCGGCCTCCAAAGGCGTCACAATCAGTGTCAAGGTTTTCTCTTTGCGGCTGGTTGGATTTCTTCCTTTCAGCCTGGGTCTTGCATCCAGCCCAAACCTAAACGTCTGATCCAGGCCTCCTCACCCCTGGAGAAAGATGGGGTCATCTGCTCTCCGTGTGCAGTCAGACCAGGTACCATGTTGTATAAGAGGAACCACAGCTGGAGCAGAATTCCGCTGGGTAGGAGATCGGAGGGTAGACTTGAAACAATGGGATGACATTCAGAAAGGACTCATTTAGGGTGAATATTTTTGTCCTTTGGGTTTCTGGATAGAAAAGGAGCTTCTGGATGACTCAATCTTTCAGGATCTCCTAAGGGACATGGTGGAAACATCACCTCTTGGGACTTAGTCTGGAATAAGCACTAGTAAGAATACAGCAAGGAATCATAGAATCATAGAATAATAGGACTGGAAGGGACCTCAAGAGGTCATCGAGTCCAGCCCCCCGCCCTCAAGGCAGGACCAAGCTCCACCTACACCATCCCTGACAGATGTCTATCTAACCTGTTCTTAAATATCTCCAGAGAGGGAGATTCCACCACCTCCCATGGCAATTTATTCCAATATTTGACCACCCTGACAGTTAGGAATTTTTTCCTAATGTCCAATCTAAACCTCCCCTGCTGCACTTTAAGCCCATTACTCCTTGTCCTGTCCTCAGAAACCAAGAGGAACAAATTTTCTCCTTCCTCCTTGTGATACCCTTTTAGATATTTGAAAACCGCTATCATGTCCCCCCTTAATCTTCTTTTTTCCAAATTAAACAAGCCCAGTTCATGAAGCCTGGCTTCATAGGTCATGTTCTCTAAACCTTTAATCATTCTTGTCGCTCTTCTCTGTACCCTTTCCAATTTCTCCACGTCTTTCTTGAAATGTGGCGCCCAGAACTGGACACAGTACTCCAGCTGAGGCCTAACTAGTGCAGAGTAGAGCGGCAGAATGACTTCACGAGTTTTGCTTACAACACACCTGTTGATACAACCTAGAATCATATTTCTAGCAATCCTGCATTGTTATATGTGTCCAATATGCCACATAAAATGTACATTGTTTCTATGGTCGTTGCATACATGTTCCACGTCATTCTGGGCCAGTTGGGAATTCAAGTGATAGCCCTTAGTGTAGGACAACTTGATCGAGAATCTGAAATGTTAGAGCTGGAAAGGACCCATCCACTCATCCAGTTTCATCTCCCTGGGACAATGGTACTAAATGAGCAGAAGTTTTGTGGTCCGGTCTCATAAGAGTCAAGTAGGACCTGGATGAACGATTTATGCTGCGAATCAAGCGTGGGGGAAAGGACAAACTAATTTTAATTTTCAGTGAATTGGGCAGAGAGGGATAGTGGATGTATTTAAACAATCTTTGCTCAGGTCATCCCAATACACCAGACCGTGGTCTAGGAGACATGAGCTATGAGGGAAGACTGAAAGAATTGGGTTTGTTTAATTTGGAAAAGAGAAGACTGAGAGGGGACATGATAGCCGTTTCCACGTACCTAAAAGAGTGTTACGAGGAGGGGGAGAAAATTGTTCTCGTTGGCCTCTGAGGATAGGACAAGAAGCAATGGGCTTAAATTGCAGCAAGGGAGGTTTAGGTTGGACATTATGAAAAACTTCCTATCAGTGTGGTTAAACACAGGAATACATTTCCTAGGGAGGGTGTGGAATTTCCATCGCTGGAGATATTTAAGAGCAGGTTAGACAGACACCTGTCAGTTCCCTTTTTTCCCTCCTCAAAAAGTTTTGTTGCTATTTGGGGAGGTGGGGTAAGGGTTTCTCAAAAATCAAAAAGAAAGGGGGCATGATGCTGAAATGTTTGGGAACCACTGATCTAGACAGTGCTTGGTCCTGCCATGAATGCAGGGGACCGGACTTGATGACCTCCCTTTGTGTTTGCTTCTGCATCAAACTGGTGACAGGGAAGCTGTAAAGCAAGAGTCTAAATTTTCCTCAGTGCCTTGAGCAAAATCCCTCCCTGGTTATGACTCCGTTGATTTGCACTGGGGATGAATGTGGCCCTTTGCTTGCAACACATACAGGGCTGCAATAGCTCGTGTCTTGCTATTGTTATCCCAGGTCAAATGAGGCCATGGGTGTAGCCTCCCGCACACCCTGTCTGTGCAACTGTCATGGCACAAGCTGCCTCAAAGAACACTTGTCACTAACGGTGCATACTTGAGTCGGTGCATTCTCAGTCGTAGCAAAGTGTTTCTCGCACACTTGGCCAGCTGAGCGTGGACAGATTTTGTTTTTACTCTGCTAGTGACAGATGGTCTTTGCTGTTGTTGCAGACAAACATTTGGGAGTGGAAATCAACATCCCATCAGCTTTATTGATGGTTGGGGTTGCATGTCGTGGTCATTCCCGTTCTTCGTGGTGAGCCCATTGGGCTTATGGAGCATTAAGGCACGGATGATGCCTCTAATAGATAGCAGGTTTAAACCTCCCTACCAAAAAGGAAGTCGTTCTTCATGCAACACAAAGTCAATCTGTGGAACTCCTTGCCAGAGGATGTTGTGAAGGCCAAGACTTTTAACCGGGTTCAAAAAAGAGCTAGATAGATTCATGGAGGATAGGTCCAGCAAATCGCTTTTAACCAGGATGGGTAGGAATGGTGTCCCTAATCTCTGTTTGTCAGAGGCTGGAAATGGGTGACAGGGGAGGGATCACTTGATGATTCCCTGTTTTGTTCACTCCCTCTGGGGCACCTGGCATTGGCCACTGTGGGCAGACAGGACACTGGGCTGGATGGGCCTTTGGTCTGACCCAGTTTGGCCGTTCTTACGTTCTAATGTTCTCCAGCTTCCACATGTTCCCCAGACTTGATTATTATTAGAAACGAAGTATTGTCCATTTAAGCCCAAAGATTTCCAAGCCTCCAAAGGAGTCCGGTCCCATCTGGGATCATCCCTGCTTAGGATCTCATCTGGTTAGCGATGAGTAAGTACAGAAACAGTCTGAGTTTAGCACCTGCAGTTTGGCTCTTGCTCCTCCTTATTACTGGAGCATCCCAATAGTCCCGACAATGGAAACTTGCAGGAGCTGTTTTATTGTCTCGCGGGGCAGACCTATGGGGGCAGAAATGTGCATGGGGAGGAGTTGCTTGCTGCACATTAATCCTGCGGTCTGACTCAGGTTTGAGCCCAAGTCCCGCTTCTCCCCACATGCAGCTCAGTCTAGTTTGGGTCAACAAGTGTTTGTGGCCCAAGATGCTAAGATCGAGCAAGGGGCATGAGTGTGAGCCAGAGCCGAACCCTGTCCTTGCTGTGTGGATGCAGGTCTAGCTGCTGACCTGGGCCAGAAGGGCAAGATGAAGATCTGGGGCTGGTTCTGAGACCCAAGTCCAGCAATTTCAACCCAGGCTTACGGAGCAATGTGAACACTTAAGCAGGATGTGGGATAATGAAACCCGCACACCCGGGCTTACAATGCAGTGCAGATGTACCTTGTGTTGCTGTGTTCCCTGGTCAGCTCGTAGCTTTGTCGAAAACGTTACTGGAAGCTTGACCGAATGCGACAGTTTGGCTAGAAACACAGTTGCAACCACCCATTCCACGAAGACCTTCAGATGGAGTCTTGGGGGCCCGCAACACTCCCGCACCTTCAAGGACTCCTGTCGGCACCTGTTGAGAAGCAAAATATAGCCCTTCACAACTAAGCTCATCTGCTCTGAAGCCCATGCTGGACCAACATGCCTTTGAGACAAGGCCCTGTTCTGGGGGCAAGGCAGAATCACCTGCCCGAAGAGAGCACTGCGGGAGGCCGGGAAGGGGAATACTGGCTCACAAGGGGAAAAGAAGGATGGAGCTATGTCTCTGCTTCCTGGGACTAGGACTTTTCAGTTTAGAAAAGAGGGAGATATGATAGAGAGCTATAAAATCATGACTGGTGTGGAAAGAGCGAATAAGGAAAAGTGATTTACTTGTTTCCATCACATAAGAACGAAGGGTCACCAAAGGAAACGAATAGGTAGCAGATGTAAAGTTTTTCTTCGCACAGTCAACCTGCGGAACTCCTTGCCAGAGGATGTTGTGAAGGCCAAGACTTTTAACCGGGTTCAAAAAAGAGCTAGATAGATTCATGGAGGATAGGTCCAGCAAATCGCTTTTAACCATGACAGGAGAGGGATCACTTGATGATTTCCTGTTTTGTTCACGCCCTCTGGGTCACCTGGCATTGGCCACTGTGGGCAGACAGGACACTGGGCAAGATGGACGTTTGGTCTGACCCAGTCTGGCCATTCTGATGTTCTCCCACCCTCGTGGGGGATGCCGGAGCTGCAATTGTGCCTGGCCCTACACTAGGCAGCATTAGGGGGCAGGGAGGAATTTTTGCGCACCTGCTGCTTGCACATGGAAAGACCAAGCTCACTCTAGCTGTGGAAGGGGCATCCTCTCATCACCTTCCCAGAGCCGCTCTCCTGGCTAAATGCACGTCCCGACTAAGTCGAGGCTGTAGTGGCGCAATAACCCTGCTGTCGGAAGCTGCCAGCTCCGGGTTTGCCGTATGAGAAATTCCCATGCCGCCTACCTCGCGGGCCTTCCCTGCACGTTGCCGTTACAGTAGCTGTGTGGAGGAACCAGGGGTCACTCGAAGGACAGCACCCCGGTGGGAAAGGCTGATGGGTGATGGGTGACCGAGGCACATCACAGGCGGTTCGCAGTGCTACCATGCCAAGGCCAAGGAACCGGTGAATTCCTCCCACCGCCGTCAAAGCATGTCGGAAGAGGGCAACTTTGAACCCACCCCACCTTTCCCCGGCGGTCACATTGCTCTTGGGCCACCGCCGTCAAAGCATGTCGGAAGAGGGCAACTTTGAACCCACCCCACCATTTCTTTCCCTGAAGAGTCAGGGGAAATCTGGAGGTGTCCGTAGATGTGTGTAAGGGAAAAGTCGCCCGTTGCTCTGTGCCTGGGCGAAGCCGCTGGGACGCAAAGGCCGATGTGCCGAACACTCTCAAGGGTTAACAACCACCACAGCGATGAAATCACAGAAGCCCCTTCTCTTGGAACAGCTAAGTTGAAATGACAGCTGCGCCCGTCACCTGTTGAGAGTTCAGACAGCTGCAGCTGTGCCCGGCGCGAGCCCCGCCGCTTTGAACCCTGCCGGATTAGAAAAACAACACGCTTGTGATCAGAATGCCAATAGCCTCTTGGGGCGCGCTCGCTGCTGGCAAGTCGAGACGACCACGGGGCGATGCGGATACAGGCGATGCGTGCCCATGCCTGCTCCGTCTTGACTGCTGCCCGGCACCGGGAGCTAGATTTTATATTGCTCCCGGATCCTGAGAGATGCTGTAGCTACTAACGGGTGAGACTCACTCCTGAACGTCTCGGCTTTAACTAAAATGACAGACCAGACTCA